GTATGTATTTAATCGTCGGCGATTGAAAGCAAATGCGCTTTTTGAGCGGATAATGGATATTAACTTTTGTATTCGTTTGGGAAGTGCTATACGGAAACTCACTAAATTTTGAAGCAGGTGTAAGGTTCTGATACATTATCGCAAACGCGAGCTTTTGAGGGGCGTCGACGTTTCGGAGAAGGCAAGGAAAGTGTCGAAGACGACAAATGCTTTAGGAGCTCCACAGATTTCCCGCACTTCTGGAAACATCAAAAGGTTTCTGTGGCGGTACGTAAATACCGGCTTCAAACAATAGCAGAATCAGTTGGGATATCCTCAGTTACATATCAATGAATGCTGACTAAGAATTTTAACATGCATAGGGTCTGTCAACATATCGTTCCCCGCCCCCACATGTTAAACAAAGACCAATCTGCAGATGAAATTAAAAGTGCATCGCAGGCTGTAGGGACGTCTTAAGACTTCTTGAGGCCCTGAGGCCCTACACACATGTAACCCTCCCCCCATAACCCTTAAAAGTAAACAGCACTTAGCATACGTTGTCAAATACTCATAAACACAATAACCCGAAACAAATAAATGTGAATAATTTACAATAGCCCATACCAGCCCAACAGACTGCGCCTTTTGACTGAAGGAGTAATGATGGGGCATGGTGGTAAGCCTAGACCTGTGCGTGGACGATGGTCATCTCATGTAGCCAGTTGACATATCGTCCAAAATTCTCAATTTTTTGGAGTACAACCGAAAATAATATTTGACATTTGAAATTACAGTGGGTGATCGGTTAATGAACACTTTCACGAAAGATCTTTGTGTTCGTATAACGAACACTTTCAAGAAAGATTTTTTTGTGTTTGGACAACGAACACATATTCGGAGGTGATCAGGGAGACACCCCTTAAATTATGGATGAAATTTTGACAGCTGCTAGAGATTTGGAATTGGAGGTGAACGAGAAAATGACATAGAAGAGCTCATATTGGGACATGAAGATGAACTGACGATAGAAGAACTCCAAGAAATTTTGAATGAAGAACACCAAGGAACACAACGAAATGTGTCTCCTGAACAAGAGGAAGACAAAAGAGGACCAATGCCGACATTTGCCATTAAAGATCTTTTTAAAAAGTGGGAGGCTGTCAGAGCAATGGTCTTAGAATGGCACCCAAACCAAGCTGATGTCAGTAGGGTTGGGGATCTTTACAACGACAATGTTATTAATTACTTCCGGAAAATCCTGAAAAAGAGAGAAAAACAATCGACATTGGACATGTTCTTCAACGCCTCATAAGCAAAAAATAAAAAGGACTGATTAATATGCAAGACTATATGCATGTATTATTTTTTAAATACTTACTAAGGAATTATACATTTTTTAAAATTTAATTTATAGGGTCTCCAGAACGAATTAATCGATTTCACATAGAAGTCTATGGTGAATAGATGATCGGTTAACGAACAATTCGGATAGCGAACATAGTCTTGGAACTTATTATGTTCGTTGACCGATCACCCACTGCATTCGAATTATGATCTTAAGGTCGAATCGAGAACGAGACGAGGCCCCGGGCCCAGTTGACCCATGCCTTAAGGCGTCACTAGCAGGCTGGATTAAAGCATGGCTGAAAATGGATCCCAGAAATGTTTCAATGACCTTTACAAGCCATGGCAAACGTGTGTTGTTATTCAGAGGTCTTATTTCGAAGAAGGATGTGTTTCAGCAGCTTAATTGGTTACATTTTTTTAAGTTACAGATTCAGTCCAGGAACTTTTGAATCCGACTACATAGCAACCCATTATTCCAATAAGATCACCAGATATCCACATTTCTCTAATCACTATTTATTATTTAAAATCAGCAGATGTTTTGAATTGAAGGCAGTAGATTTTTTTAAAATAAACATTTCATTTTTTCCTGTTGGAAAAACTGCATTAAGATTTTGTCTTCGATCTTCATTGCAAATTTGTTTCATGTATTTTTCCCCTGAGTTTTCTGTCTGTTGATTTTCCTGAAAGAGTGAGGGAATATTTAACGTCGCACTATTCAGCTATACGAGAGCTTTTGGCGATGGACCGCGTAATTTTGGACCATGGTCAAGTGACGTGAACGACGCCTGAACTGGCACCCCCTCTCCTAACTACCACACCAAAGGGAGGACGTTTGAGCTCTCGACAGATTTAACGTGCATCGTCCGCTACACAGCGGGTCTTTAGTGCTACTGGGCTCGAACTCGTGAGAAGGTCAGCCACGATCCGATACCTTGACCACTCGGCTACCGAGGCCACTTGATTTTCTTGAACACAGTATGATTGAAAAATATTATGTTATTTTAATGATTTTTGTAGTGCAAGGTAAAAATACCTACGATATAAAACGATGCATTAATTAAGATTTGATTTTGGTTAATATCGAATGTTCTGCTTTGAAATTCACGTGCATTTTTTTTGAGTATTCCACCGATGAATTTATTTAGGAGTTAGTGAATATTAACGTTGCACTGTTCAGCTACACGAGGGCTTTTGCCGATGGACCACGTAATTTTTAAACCACGGTCAAGTGACGTGGACAACACCTGAGGTGGCACCACTCTCCTAACTACTACACCACACCAACGGGAGGACGTTTGAGCTCTCGACAGATTTAACATGTATCGCTCCCTTACACGGAGGGTCTTTGGTGGCACTAGGCTCGAACTCGTGACAAGGCCAACCACGATCCGATACTTTGACCACTCGGCTAACGCGGCCACAAATTTATTTAGGAAACTATAAAAGAAGAATGAAAGGCATCGTATTAAAAGTTTCATGAGAAAGTGTACAGTTGGTTTGAAAAAAATTAAGTACGAGCCAGGCTTTAAAATGTGGGTTCGAAAAGTTAATGTGGTGATATTATTTCTTATACGATTAATGTTTAGTAGTCACACCCGCAAAGTACGAGTTTCTGGAGAAAAAAAAAGCTTAATCCCTTCATATGAGCTTCATTTCTGTTCTAAGTTTTAAGAGTTCATGCAGAGAAAGATTGAAAAAAATTTAAGTGTGTGCGTACTTATGTACGCTGTAAGAAGTTATACTTCTTTGGCGTAACAAGATTAAAATCTTTCTAAAAATCTTTAGCCGGACAAGCTGGACCAAGGACGAAAGGCAGTCACGAGCAGAGTTGAACGATACTAACCTTCAGTCAGTCGGATGAGCCAAACCTGAGATAATCACGATTTAAATAAATTGAAACACATCCCGCACAGGGACCATAGGACCAATAACATGGAGGGTATCAGACTTTATCTGGAGATGAAGTGAACCGAATGTGACACCTGAGACCTCATATTGAATGTCTCGGCGGGAAGAATCATTCCTGAGAAAATTAAGACATCCGCCTGAAGAGCCCCCGAGTTATGGTCATTTTAAAATAATTAAAACATTTAAAAACAATTAAATAAAACAGAAGCAGTGCACCCAGCAACTTGATCCTGGGACTCGTTGTGAGCAAACACAAGAGGAATCCATTAGAACCGGTCCGGAATCTGTAGTTGCAAATGGGGTGGCGCTAGTTTGAGAAAGGAAATGAAACTAACTTCCCCGGGGAGGGGGGGAATAACTGTGACATAAACTGTACATCCCGACGATACACAGAGTAGTAGGTGATCCCAAAGTTTCATCCTTCTATCTCTGTAATATCGTTACGTTATCAAAAGATCGAACCCCATAGGAATAACATGGGGATTCTAATTTTAGTAATAACGCCCCCCAAGCCCACTATCTACACAAGAATTATAACAGATGAAATAGCTCAACGAGGAGAACCTATGGTTCGAGTTTCATTAACGAATCCCAAAAATCCTCGGAGCTATGCGTAATTTTAAAAAAAATTATAACTAAAATAATTTTAGAATGTTAAATATAGGTAAAGAAATGTGGCTGTGGTCCTGAAAAAATATATCTAGGATGCTCATAGGAAGAACAATTGAATCCAGTCGGTGCGGTCGACCAAGGTGGCATAGGATTCGAGTTATTTCTGGGGAAGCCCTGTTGGGGGGAGGGGGCCAATTCCACGTAAAGCTCGCGCTAATACGAAAATATGGTGGATCTCCAAAAATCAAGTTCCAAGCTCCATTCCTTAGGGGGATGAAATTTTTTCCAGTCCCCATAGGATTAACATTGGAGCATGATATTATAGTGCTTAAGCCCTCCCCATGCCTACACAATGGGAATGAAGCAGATGACTAGATGGGTCTCGACGAGTAGAACATTTGGTTTAAATCTCAAGTCCGAGACTCGAACAAGAGCCAAGATATTGTGAATTCAAACAAATTTAAAAAGTTTAAGACGAAAACTATGGAAGAAATAGCACTATGAGAACACACACTCATGAAATTATAATAACTGGAAGAGCAGACAGAGAGGGATTGAATGAGTCAGCTCCGAATGGACTGTGAGGCTCGGGTGCCGTGATATTGGCCAAAAAGCTGTAGAGGGGGGGTGCGTCCCAGCAGATATGGTTTATAACAATAGTTATTATGATCCCCCAAATATCAATCCCATATCACCAAAAAAGTGGCATGTTAAAATATTAGAAAACGGTATGCACGCGCATCGTGAACATTTACCCTCATCCTTTTTCCCTAGCCCAAAAAGAAGTATAACTTCAAAAATAAATATACGAATACAAAAAGGCTCTTATAATTTAATGCAATAAATGTGTTTATGTTCATCGCAATGCGTTCGTAGTAAATACATCTATAATCATATATTTGCAATTGTTATTTAAATAGGTAAATTAATATTTACTCTTATGTTTTATGTACATGAAACACAATTTAAAGATTATTTTATTAATTTTTTAAAAAATTTCTTGTAAGTATGTTTGGTTTAGTAACAAAAAGTGTTCAAACAAATGCATCAGAGCAGCTCCGCAGGCGAAGGGTGATCTTTCCCTACTAATAGTGACGTCACAAATCAGCGCAAAGCAAAGGTTTGTAGACACGGTGTCCTTTCAAGATGGCGTTAATATAGCTCAGTGGTAGAGCATTCGACTGCTGATCGAGATGTCCCCGGTTCAAATTCGGGTATCCTCTTCAGAAAAGTAGAGAGAAATGGGTTTTTTTCTTTTGAGGATTTCGAAGGCGGCAATGATCTGTCTCGTTCTGTATATTTCTAGATAAAGCATTTTCGTATCCGTTCCTAAGGAGCGCAAAGCTAAGATTCGCTGACGCAGTGGTATAACTCTGTGGTAGAGCTTTTGACTGCAGATCGAGAGGTCCTTGGTTCAAACCCGGGTGTCCTCTTTTTCAGGGAAGTGAAGAGAAATATTTTCCTAACAGTTTCGAAGGCGGGAATGATCTGTCTCTGTATGTTTCTAGACAAAACGTTTTTGCATCCGTGACGGTGTGCGCACGCATCGCAAAAATTTACCCTCATCCTATTTCTTTAAGGCCCGAAAAGAAGTATAACTTCAAAATTCGCAGCAATTTAATGAGTAGTATTCCATCGTTCTTGGTTTATTTTTCTTTGAATGAGAAAAAATAAGTCTTTGTTTTTCGTAATGGTATAATTATTATTTTGTGACGTTATACATAAAATATTTCAATAATTTTACTTCTAAAAACGTTGACATTTGTATTTTTTTCATTGTTATTATTTTGCTTGGAATTTACAATATCCAAAAGATTATCTCGATAGCTATATCTAAACTTTGTTGACCGCAAGAAGGGGTCATTAAAACACCACAACGATAACCCTATTATACACTTTCATTTATTTTTGCTAATTATATTATAAAACAATTAATTTTTGAATAATATACATGTAAAAAGGTTTAAACATTGTGTGTGTAAATTTGTAAATGAAATGTTTACAGCACTATTAGTGAAGGGATATTTTTGAAATTATTTGAAATTGCTCTTTAAAAAGTTTCTTTTTTTTTAAAAAAAAATGCGTTCCACGCGAACAAAGTACATTGTTTATTTTAATAAAATAGAATTGACGTTCTAACATGGATATAAATCAATATCATGGGGACATCAATATTAGGACAGTAAACATCATTAATACATCAAACAATTTGTTTTACACATCACTCAATTTCAAATTTTATCAATTGTAATTTTGTGTAAAGTGTATTTTTTTGTTTGAATAAATAAGTTTGTGTAAAAAAAAGCTTCGTGAGTAATATTGTCGAAAAAAATACTTTGTAAAGGAAACAACTACAAAATATTTGAAAGGAGTGTGGGGGGGGAGATAATTTATTTATATTAAAACAAAATTTCCCTTCATTTTCTATTCAATCATAAACCCAGAGAGGTTCGAATAGACGATGGTTCGATAAATGGATTGGCTTATGCATTTTCTTCGTTTGAATCAATAATCTTTGATATCTCTCTCTATATATAACCTTGCTTCAGAAAATTAATTTCATTGATTTTAATAGGATATCAAGTAACAAATGATCGAGCATCAGATTGTATAAAGCAATCTGTATGATTAGTTATAGATTGAAATGAGTTATAGTTTTCATTCATATTCACGAGCCTATTGAAAAACCCAATTGTGTATCACTCATTTCTCATTTGAAAAAAACTTTAAAACTCATTGAAAACAGCCAATGGCTTGCATGTACCAATTTTCAAAGGAGTTTGGATCAACAAATGGCTTTAATCGTCTTTAAATTATTCAACGTCACAATAGACTGAATAAATAATTATTAGTATTTGTCGGGGCAGGATGCTGCATGTGTGTTAACTTTTGTTGAAAGAAAATTAGTTTCATTTTCTTAAAAATAATTTCATTCCTTTCAAGTATAAAAAATTGAAAATACCATTAAATTGAAAATAGCATTATTAGACTGAGCATTTTCAAATGGTCGATGCTGGAAAAAATGTCAGTCCTTTTTTTAAAAAGGAGGGGAAAAATCTACAGCTGAAATTATCTACTCGTTTTTCATTGGTTTCTCACACAAGCGAAAGGAGTTATTAAAGTTATGAAAAGGTGTTGCATAGTTGTGAAATAATCAAAATTATATTACGAAAAACTATTGTTAATACAAAGTCATACTTATTACGTTATGTAACCGAAAAAAATGGCTTGAATTTAATGAAATGAACTCTGATGCAGTTTTATTTTTGAAAAGAGGTAACAAAAAGTGGACTTGTGTACAGTAAAAACCTAATGGTGCTGTTGGTCAAAACTGAAAAGTATAACCATAAGCGTCCTGCGATTTGGATAAATTTTATTGTATTCTAGAAATAATCTTCAGTATAAGAAAAAGAAAAGCGTTTTAGGGAATAAATGACATTAAATGCTTTATTTTACTGGAAACCACAAGAAGGAAGCTATCCTGAACCAGTATCAGATTACTGAAGCCCCAGTTTTACAATTAAAACTTATTCTAAAATTATTCAGTTATTAGTATTAAATTTTTAAATGTTATGAATTTTTAGTCTGAGTTGTATATAAGTGTCAATACGCAGCATCAGCCATTGTTCTAAGATAGAGCTTTTTGTAATTGACAAACTTTCGCCTGGAACAACTAAATATTGCTATGAGCATCCCACAAGAGCTCGAAATTATTCTAAAATGTCTGTCTTTTACGGGTGTGATTTTTGCTTACACTAAGTCAGCAAAGACAAAGGCGAAGTTTCGCGAAAAAGCAAAACTCGCCTTGAAGTCATTAGTAGAAATAGTATTCATTTTACTCGTGATCAACACAATTTACACAACAATTAATTCAGGAGTGAAATACACAACTGTTTACAGTGTCACGATGATCACGATTCATTCCATTTTATTACTTCTGAGAATCTCACTCCTTGCGAATAAAAACAAGATACTGAAAACTTTAGCAAAGCTCCACGTATTCGGAAAGAGACATGGGAAAATGGATAACTTGCAAAAGAAAGCCATTTTGACTTCTGGTTTTTGTGTCCTTTTCCCTATTATCATGTTCCTCGCCAGTACTGTGCCTGCTTTAATCGATATAGACAGAACGATGTCTACGGTGAATCTGATGGTTCAAAATTCCACGAGTAATTACAAAGTCATTTTTGCCATCACCCTGATTGGGAATCAGTTTATTTTTAGCATTCACTTCCTCGTGTTTCCTGGAATGGTGATGATTCTTCTCAGCTTCACATACTTGTACTTCTTTAAAGCTTTCCATCAACAACTCGAAGCAGTACGATTTAGACTGCTGCACAACTTTTCGAGCCAAGAGGTCTCCAAAACATGGAATGTACTAACAGTGGCGAAGAGCGTACACCAGGACATAGAAGTTTCCTTCTCTTTTACCACATTTTTGGCTTACATTCTGACCTTTGGGAACATCTTGAATGTAGTGTCAGTTATCGTAACCAAGTTCTTATCTGATGAAGGAAGTATGCAACATGCATATTCTTACACAATTCTTTCATGGACTGTACTATGGTTTGTAGTGTTGACTGTATCTGGAACTAAATTGGCGAAAATCGAATCATTCATCAAGAACTTGATGCAGGAGGTGATTTCGAAGAACTTAGGCAAGAAACCCGAAGGACGCAATGAATTGGCGTGTCTGAACTTTTTTAATGCGGGTTTCGATTGCGAATTCCAATTCACCGGATGGGGAATGTTCAAGGTGGACAAGAAATTGTTTCTTACCATTTCAGGAATTCTAATAACATATGGGATGCTGTTTGCAACGTAAGTAACTAAACTCTTGTAAATATAAAGACCACACTACTGCCGGGAACATTAGATATTGTAAAAAGTATTAACAATTGACATTCAGAATACTGCTCTCTTCAGAAGAGAACAGCATGTATCTGTACAATATTCTCTTCAGAAGAGAACATTGAATAGAAATTTACTACTCCTAGGATACCAAATTTCGACGAGCTTGGGAGGCCGTCATTAAATCCTTCAAATTTTATCTAAAACAAACAGAGGATAATTCTGTTTTTACGTATGGAGAATTGCTTACAAATTGAAGCAATGTTAAGTTCCAGACCACTTACTCTTCTTTCATCCAACGTTGAGGATTTAAAAGTATTAATTCCAGTACTTTTCTTTTTGCCAGATCAATACTTCTTGAACCATCTCTATTAAAAGTTAACATTAATAAACTGCATTTATGGCAAAGAACTGCTAGGGTTGTGCAGATGATGTGAAAAAAATGGATTATAATTATTCCCAAGTAAATGGATCTTAAGTCGAACAGCTAAAGTTTATGCATTGAAGGATAAAATCATTCGTGTTGCGGATATTAAAACTAGTAGATCAGAAATACTCAAAACAACCGTATCCAAGTTGTGCGTGTTGCCTTTGGAAACATAATGTTGTGTTCCAGCCAAATATTGCTTTGTACTTTGCTAATGTATTATTGTATGTTTATTTTATATGGTGAAATTTAGCTGTGAATCTTGAATGCATGCACATTGCAAGACTGGGAAAATGTCTAAGCATGCGCAATGAGCCCAAATAAGTACGGGATGACGAACACAAGGAGAATGAACCAATGGCTATTGCTCTTCAGCTTTTGCGGTCTTACCCCATTCTCGTCCCAAAGCGGGCATTTAACTTGCATAGGTTTTTTAGTCAATGTTTATATTACATTAAACTGTTAAGTTATTCTATGGTCCGTCGTTCTTTCAAAGTATAACTAGAACACCGATGATTCAAAAAAATTTATTTTTATTTATTTCAACTCATAGTTTAAAATTGGATTTATTAAAATGTGTTTCAGTGACTGCTTCCACATTTTTTTGTTTCATATTAATTGTTTGCTTTTTAAAAATATCTCTCTTAAATCATGCATCTCTCTTTGAATGAAACATTTGTTTCTTCTGATTTTAAACATCTAATCATATGCCTTGTAATCCAACACGAAGTTTACTGAGCTCACAATCACTCGATAGGAGATTCAAGTTTAATAATTCTTGTCAAAAACAGTCAGACAGCATAATGACAACTGTTATGCTTCAGATATGTATGACCTCAAAGTCCCTAAATTTACTTGTCGTAGATATAGAGGTGTCATTTCAAATATTTACCTCGACTGTAAATATAAAAGTAAGAGTAAGTACAAAAAAAGTTCAAAGAAGTA